ATCAAAGGCAGACGTCTGAAGCATGCATTGTGAAGCATTGGCCAGGGCAGCGTTAGCTCGGCGCTGAGTCCTACACATCGGCCCAGTGGCCGGTTGATTCCGCAAATATTGCAAGGGAACAAGGGAAACCCCACAGTATGATACTTGAGTCTTTGCTTGTGACTGCTGGCTGTCATAGTTCTCACGAAATAACATCTTTTGGAATGCTCCCACCAGGTCACCAGTTCCAACAAATTGTAGACTCATCATGAGTACGCAACAGTGTCTATTTTTGTGAGACGAACACAGGCATCCTTCTCTGACGCCGGCATGATTTGACCTACATTATGCGAGCTTTACGAGTTGCTGGTCACTGCCACCCTATGCACTTAGTCTTGGTGTTGCGCACCGTGCTAGGTTCTAAGTGTCTTCCTGCAAACAAACATTTGTCATGTCGGTCGTGACGGTTTTGTTTGCAGGAAGAGACTAGTCTGCCAGAAACTCCTTGTGCGCGGGGCGGCTCTGAACATGTTTATTTTCAAGAGTATTTGGCATTTCTTTGGCTTGTGCTTGAACTTCTCACGCGACGTTGCGAACAAGGGCATGCTGCCGAAAACTGAGGCCCGAGCTCCGAAAAGCGCTGAGTGCTGAAAAGCAAAGCGCCTTAACTAGCGCTTGAATTAAAAGCGCACAATGCGAGGATTGCCGCGAGGGGCCAAAAGCAGTGCGGCAGGATTTGGACATTCGCCGGTACGAGTCCAAGTTGACAGACAAGATTTCCTGGAAAATGACCATGCTGTGAAAACTCAAGCAAATTCTAATTGGTTGGATCGCGTAAAAAACCAAAAAGCCGGCTGAGTAGACATTCCATTGAAAGGGGCTCGTTTCATCAGCGCGGGCCAGGGGCTGGGCTGCCCGCAAATGTGCGCCGACCTCATGCGGCGAGGTGCATAATGGGTGTGGCTCAAAATCAAATAGCTAGGCTTCGGCAGGTTTTAGTCTTTGGTTCCATTTACAAAGGTGCAAGGTGCATCTCGCAACACCTTGACCCGGTTTTGAAGACTTCATAGGGGAATGCGGAAAGGGCAGCCGGTTCCAGAGGCAAACGCACGGTTTGACTCATGTGTTTACTGTCAGGCTTCTACAGAAGGACTGCGACCCGCTGTGGTGTTGACCGTATTTGTTCGGTTCTTTCAAAGGCTGAGCAACTGGTGCAGGGAACCACCCGTGGTCTGTGCAGGTAAGAGTTTAAGAGGGCTTGCGTAGCTCACGTACAAGGGTAGCAAGGAAACGGAAAATAATGAAGTTGGTCGACCCAACTTAACAAAACTTGCAAGGGCAATCAGAATTTCCAGGGTAGCGGGACAGACGTGCAATGAGTAGAAATAAGTCAACGTCGGTTTTCGCCATGTCTCGGGAAGAAGCTGTGAAGCTGATGCGTTTGTTGCCTGCGCTGATTGTCATGGGGGAATGCAACGGATGCTTGGAGTTGGCAGACACAGATCCCCACGTAAATCACGCGCACCAAAGGAATAATTAAGCCACACCCGAATTTGCGGAATTCGGGTCCCACGTCACATGACGGAGAAAGGAGCCGAGTGGTGCCTGGAACGCGGAGCGCCGCCACGCGCCCACGTCTCTCGGTGGCTTTGCTCCTGCCTGCTTCGGCTCTAGGCCATCTGAGCGGGACGTGGATACCTACAACGTGCGAAACGAGGCGCGGGAGGTGCTCAAGACTTCCAGGTCTCACCACTTGGCACATGGAGCATGTGAGGCGATATTGGAGTGTCTTGGTCTAGAATCTAGAAATTACTGCGTATTCCAATGTTGGCACATTAGGTGATCATTCCCTTGTTCTTTCATGCGTGATGCGTACGTGATCGTACGTGTAAAATGAAGTTGAGGTCAATCCTATTGTTTCTGTCACAAATGCTGCTGCCATATTTTCATGCACTCAGGAAGGGTCATTTTCTTTACGGCAATTACTACCTATTTGTCGATCACTCTGACGAATCAAAGTTGATATTTGCTTACACTTGCGAATGGCCACTGCGGTTTCAGCTGCCAGGATTTTACGGAACTGTTCGCGACGCAAATTCTAGTTGACCTTGGCATCCAGTTCCCATTTATTTGCAAATCCATCTTGGCGGCGCAAAGAACAAATTCACCGGCGCCTTTTTGTTTCTTCTTCCTATTTTTTTCGCATCCATTTGCACCACACTCCGCCGTTTGTTTGCGGCCGAGCCCCTTGGCCTTTCTCCGCCCGGCTCATCGCTGCGCGGCAGGCGGTGTTCTACGCCTGCGAGAGCACGGTGGGGCGTTTGGGCGCAGAGATCGCTGCGAAGGTGGCGGAGCTCAAGGAGGCCCCCGGAGCTCGGAATTTCCGAATTTTTGGGTCGATTCAAAAGACCCCCCAAGGCCCCCGGGTGATTTTTGGGTCGACTGCTCCTTCTGGTTCTGTTGGTTTGCAATTTTCGTGTTGCGCCCCCGGTTGTTGGGTCTTGTTTTGCTGTCAGCTTCCGAGTTAGCACCGCCGAAGGTGAGGAGGATCCGATTTTTGGTGGTTGGGTAACCTCAGGGAGTGGTTCCAGGAGCGTTTTTTTTGGGGTTGAGTAATTCGTCATGGTTTCTGGCTCAGGTGCAACACGCCGAAGAGAGATGGTTTTCTGTGTGAGGATGTTTGGCTTCGGAATGTTTCTTTACGGTTTGATACTTTTTTGAGGAGATTGATAATTGAAGCGGTAGCGTGCCAACTGCAAGAAACAGTGCGGCAAAGGATTCCGTCGCTTTGGTTGAAGCCAGGGACTAAACCTAAGTTGACAAAAAGTTGATTGAGCGGTGTGGTGCCTTTTTGCTTAGGCCGTCCTAGGTTCTATGGTCTTGTTCAGTTTGCGAACATGTTGTTTGTCACGCGTTTGTTGGCTTAGTTCTTTGTTTGCTTGTGTTTGCTTGTTTTGTTGTTGTTTTGTTGTTGATTTGTTGTGTTCTTGTTTGTCTCTCCGTCAGGTTGCATATGTGTGAACACGGCAAATGCGAGGATGGGCTCAGCCTCGCCGAAGTGGTGCGGATAGCATGCAGCTCGGCAACGGTTTGTCTAGCAGGCCGCTCCAAGTGGAGACAGTCTGGTCTCTTACAACCCAGATGAGGGGGTATAGACATATGTAATGTAGAAATATGCACATGTGTTTGTTTGTTTGTTTGCTTGCTTGTTTGTTTGTGTTTGTTTGGTCGGTTGGTTGTTTGTTGACTTGTTTTGTTTTTTTGTCTGTCTGTTTGTCTGTTTGCTTGCTTGTTTGTTTATTTGTTTGTTTGTCTAACTTGCTTGTTTGTTTGTTTGTTTGTTTGTTTGTTTGTTTGTTTGTTGTCTGTTTGTTTGTGGGTTTGCTTGCTTGGTTGTTTTTTGTTTGTTTGTTTGTTTGTTTGTTTGTTTGGTTGGTTGGTTGGTTGCGTGTTGACTTGTTTGTTTGTTTGTTTGTTTGTTTGTTTGTTTGTTTGTTTGTTTGGTTGGTTGGGTGGGTGGGTGGGTGGGTGGTTGGTTGTTGATTTTTTTTGGTTTGTTTGTTTGTTTTTTGTTTGTTTGTTTGTTGACTCGTTTGTTGGTTTGCTTGTTTGTCTGTTTGTCTGTGTGCTTGCTTGTTTGTTTATTGGTTTGTTTGTTGACTTGTTTGTTTGTTTGTTTGTTTGCTTGCTTGTTTGTTTGTTTGTTTGTTTGTTTGTTTGTTTGTTTGTTTGTTTGTTTGTTGATTTGCTTGTTTGTCTGTTTGATTGTTTGTTTGTTTGTTTAGTGCGTGTGAGTGTGTGTGTGTGTGTCTGTGTGTTTGTGTGTTTGTGTGTTTGTGTGTGTGTGTGTGTGTGTGTGTGTTTGGGTTGCGTGCCAAATTCCGGATTCACCCCGGAACCGCCAGAGCCAACATCAGAATCTGGGTAGATGAAGGCTACAGACCAAGCAGATTTAGAGCCGCGGCTCTTCAGATTCCAAGCATGGTTTTGGTGGACTCCTGGAATACCGGATGTGATTATGGCTTGCCTGTAAGAGGTCGAATCTTGTGGTGCACTCAGCTGCTTGATTTTCCTCTGCTTCCTGCATTCAGCTGTTTGTTGAGTTAGGGCCTACATGCGACCGACATGGTGCATGCCTCGCCGGAGCTCTACTTGGTGATTTGATCCTCATGCTTTGCTTGCTCTCCAAATGATTTTGGCGCCCCACACACCCAAACTCATCAAGGCCCCCTGAACACACAAAACACGGCTTTTCCAAAACCCTCCATTTCAGAAAATTGCGGGGACTAGCGACTTGGCTTCTCCTTTGGTGCATTTGGGATGAGTTCGTTTCCAAATGTGGGCCCGCAACTTGCAACGATGCAGGGAACGCGTGCCCAAAGCGGTCAAGGGAGCTGCCTTATCCAGGCCAGGAGGCTGGACGATGCGACGCTTCAAAGGTAAAGCGCAGGCCAGAAAGCACGGAGGACATGCACCCAGGAAAAAAGAAAGGAATATGTTTCCCGTGGGGTGCAAAGCTAAAACCATTTAGGGGCGAAGGGGGGCAGATGGGGTTGACACCCGAGTGCATGACCGGGCCCCTTTGATCGAGCTAATCATGCTTTCTGTGCCTTCGCAGAGTGCCTTCTGTGCAGGAAAGGGAAGGCGAAGTCCAAAGAGTTGTGAGTGTGGCTATGCTCATCCGGACGATGCTCTCGGCTGGTGAGCCTTCAAACGGGGTCAAGATGGCCGGTTTGATGACGCTTGACACGCAAAGACCTCGATCAGTTAAGTTGCGTCTTCGCCTGAGTGCGCATTGGCAGGTAGCACCATGCTCAGGGTGGAACAAACATTGTCATGAATGTGGGAGCAAATATATGTGAGAATGCTGCAAATATATCCATATACATGCATATGTATATATATATATATGGATATATATATATATATATATATACACATGTTACAGATAGATAGGAGAGTCTCATCATCGACATAACACATCCGCGGTACTTGCGCCATTTTGTGGGCTCAATGCGACGAGTGCCGCCGGAAGGCATCGGCTCAGACCTCGGAGTTTCAGACGTAAATCTCCGGTGAGGTCGCTGGAGCTAGTGGCATTGAGGTAAGTACAAAAACGTCAAGTCAGGTCTGCAATTATTTGGTATCCTTTGCTGCCTCATGTGAGCGGCAATCAAAACCCGGGTGAAGGGTAGACCATTTTAACACCGGGTTTTGATTGCGACTCATGCTTCGTTCTTTTGCGCCAAGGCTTGGAAGAGCCATGACTGGGACCAACGAGGCCGTCGCATTGCTGGGGTTGTCAGAATCAGGGGCCACTTGAGAGAGAAGCTGCGTTGCTTTTGAGGCCAGTTTGGAGTGTTGAGCCAGGCCGTAGGACAACCTGCATCTCCAGCAACAGAAGAAAAGCAACACCATTGGAGTGGTTCTCTTCTCAGGAACCTCATGTCTTGGGCAATGAACCAGACACTGACACTGGCAACAAGCCACCCGTAGGATCCCAGCGAGAGCAACACTGCCGGGAGACCTGGAGACTGAAATCGTCGCTGGCGCCTTCGGGTTGTGCAAGATGCGGTTAAAGGGGGCCCCGAAAAGCTGGTTCTAACGGGCGAGTCCCAGCTTGTAGCAATGTGTGTGTGTGTGTGTGTGTGTGTGTGTGTGTGTGTTTGTGTGTCTGTGACAACATAGAACTTACATGTTCGAGGCCATCCAGGGTCGCTTAGGAATTGTTAGGATGGCAATACTGAATCCTCACCTCCCAGCTGCAATGGATCCCCAACGTCAACTTTGACCGTCGTACGCAGCACCGAAAGAAGGTCCTCACCCCCTTTCACACATCGGCGACTTATTTGTGCACAACCTACAATCCCAGTACAGGTTCTTGATTCTCTTCTGTGCTTTAAGCCATTTTGAATCGGCGGATCCCAGCGGGTTGACCTTCGATTTCCAAGTCGCCGGCGGACCAGGCAGCACTGGGGTCCATGGTCTGTCTTCTGTCGCTCTTGGAATCAGCGTCGCCGTGCTTCTGTACAAGGGGCAATGAGGCAGTTGTCTGAAAAGCGACTGGCCTCCAGCAGAACGATGGAGGACTGGCAACGAACATCGCCTCGACAAAACGCGTTGCGTTTTGCACGTGTTGACATAGTTGATATATCAAAGCATCAGCATGCCATGCACTGTTGTGGTGCCTAGTCTCTTAAATGCCAGATAAACGAATCAAGGTTGGGAATGTCCGTGTTCAGATGCATGAGATGTCCTTATTCCAAAGCCTGTTTTCGTGTGACTGAAGGCTAAACCCCGATGTTAAAGTAGTGGCTGTAGGCAGAGTGGTGACATAGAAGTGAATGTTGTGTTGGTCTGCGTGGTGTGAACTCGCAGCTGCATCCAGATGTACATCTCTTGCAGCTGTGCTTGCAGCCAATTCCGGTACCCACTTATGCTGTGGGGCAAGAGGAATAAGATTTCAACGCAATGTGCTTAGGAAGTGCTACTGCTAATACAGCAGGCATTGCGAAAGGCAGCTCCCAGGCCCAGGGTTAGCAACACGCACACAGACCGCAGCCAGAATGTAGGCTGCCAAAGAATCGCCGGCAAGACATGTTTTGTAATGAGTTTGAGTCGAGGCTGGGGAGTAGGACACAATGCGCAGATGTTATATCAGGTTGCTTTTGCAGTTGTGTTTGTGTGTATGTTCAAATAAACAACATGTACCCGCAGCATGATGCACCAGCTTCAGTGCGAAAATTACTGCCACGCATCAACAATTCAGATGGCACACATACATTGTCAGACTGTACAAGGTCTCAAGCATCGTACTGCACTTGCTGGTCAAGCTCACCTTGATTCCTGCTCTGCTCATACAAGCATATTCAAGCATGATGCCTTTTTCTTTTGTGTTTGTTTGATGGTTTTGTTTTGTTTTGTTTGTTTTGTTGCTTGCTTGCTTGCTTGCTCGCTCGCTCGCTTGCTTGCTTGCTTGCTTGCTTGCTTGCTCGCTCGCTCGCTTGCTTGCTTGCTTGCTGGCGTGCTGGCGTGCTGGCGTGCTGGCGTGCTGGCTTGCTGGCTTGCTGGCTTGCTGGCTTGCTGGCTTGCTGGCTGGCTGGCTTGCTGGCTTGCTGGCTGGCTTGCTGGCTTGCTTGCTTGCTTGCTTGCTTGCTTGCTTCCTTCCTTCCTTCCTTCCTTCCTTATTATCTTTTTTGTTCAGAGGCCCCGGCCGCCCCAGCCGCCCCGGCTGAGCCTGCTCACGAGGCATGGCTTCCATGGCTTCGCATGAGACCCGGAATGTACTGTAAAGAGTAGGGGGAGTATTGTCATTCTGAAACACGTGCGCGCTTGCGTGCGTGCGTGCGTGCGTGCGTGCGTGCGTGCGTGCGTGCGTGCGTGCGTGCGTGCGTGCGTGCGTGCGTGCGTGCGTGTGTGTGTGTGTGTGTGTGTGGAGAAGAATGAATAGTTGAGCTTGCGCCTGCGCTGGATACTGCTCTCGAGGAGCCCGCGACACGCAGACGTTATTTCGGGTTGCTTTTGCAATTGCGTGTGTGTGTGTGTGTCGTGGAATACACAACACATATCCAGAGCATGATGCACCAGCTTCAGTGGGAATTTATTGCCACCCACTGACAAATCCAGGTCGCAGGCAGACGCTGTACAAGTTTTCAATCATCACACTGCACTTGTTGGTCAAGGTCACCTTGATTCGTGCTCACTTTTTTTAGCATATAAACGCAAGACACCTTTTTGTTTTTGATTGATTGTTGATCTGTTTGTTTGTTTGTTTGTTTGTTTGTTTGTTTGTTAGTTTGTTTGTTTGTTTGTTTGTTATTCAATGTTGTTCCTCGTGTTGCGTGTGTTGTTGTTTTGTTGATGTTGTGTTTTGTTTTCGTTGCCTGTCTTGTGTTCTTTTGTTTGTTTGATTGATTGATTGTTTGTTTGTTTGTTTGTTTGTTTGTTTGTTTGTTTGTTTGATAGTGGGGTTCGAGATGCAAACAACATAACCTTGGGACAGAGAGATCGGTGACATTGGAGGCCCATGAAGGCATCGTAGTCTGCGCTTGAATGATTCATGGAACAAACGCCTCCGGCGCCAGGCAACACCAGAGGCCCCGGCCGCCCCAGCCGCCCCGGCTGAGCCTGCCAACGAGGCATGGCTTGGCATGACGGAAGGAATCGCAATGAGTCGGGGGAGAATCGTCATTCTCGGACGCGTGCCTGCGAGCCTGCGAGCGTGCGTGCGTGGGTGGGCGGGTGTGTGTGTGTGTGTGTTTGTGGCCAGAAGTGCTTCATGTTTGTTGCCCCAAAGAGCAAAGGAGTAAGAGAGAGAAATGTCAAACTACATGCTTCACTTTGCACTCTTGTTGCATGTATGTTCACTACCGCAGGCCTTGAGCTTACTACTCCGCATGAGTCAAAAGGTTGGCAGCTGCAGACTACATTGGTTGACTGTTTGTTTGAACACTACAGCACTTGCACTTGTAAGCAAAGTAACAACCGATTTTAACGTGGTAGCGGAGCTGAGATCCTAAACATAGGGGAGCTCCAGTAAGCAGTAAGTACTACAACCACAGCAACAGCAGCCACATGCCAAACTACTACGACATGTCAGGAGAAGCAGCATCAGCCTCAGCACAACAAACTACAGGAGCAGAGAATGGGCCAACAGCAGACACAGTAGGAGCCACGACTACGGGAGCAGGAACAGAACAAGACAACGACGTTCAGAGACTACATAGATACAAACTGCCACCACCCTTCTTCACTGGTGACTACTCCCAGTATGAAGAATGGCTGTTCAAGCTACAAGCATACCTCGGCCTCATAGACCGAGACTTCGACCTGGTGCTACAACTAGCACAAGTGGCTACACGACAGATTGAGGACACAGACATCAGAACACACATACTCGACCCTACACAAGCAAGCAAAGCAGTAGACCTCTCCAGAGATCTACACTACATCCTCATCAACATCTGTCAGGGAGCAGCAGCTACAGTAGTAAGGCAAAACCGCTACAACGCAAACGGATGTGAAACACTACGACTACTACACAACAGGTTCAGCCTACCAGTAGGAACAAGGAGCGTTGGTTACCTTACCAAACTACTGGAACCCACATTCAACGAAGCGCAGTTTGAAGAACAATTTCTACAATGGGAATACGACATCAACCGCTACGAGAAAGACAATGGAACAGCACTACCAGATGGAATCAAAATAGCAATACTACTCAACAAAACCAAAGGAGCACTGCAGCAACACCTCCAACTGCGAGCTGGACAGATCACGAACTACATCGAGATCAGAGCACTCATCCTGGACTACTACAAAACGATTTCAGCCTTCACTAGATCTACTTCAGCAGTAGGAACAAACTACAATGGAGGAACTGCACCAATGGATGTTGACAACATATGGAGGAAAGGAAGAAGCTACAAAGGCAAAGGAAAAGGAAAAGGCGGCTACAAAGGAAGCAAGAGCAAAGGCAAGTACAGGAGTAAAGGACACTACAAAGGATTCGACAAAGGCAGCAAAGGAAACTACAACAAAGGAGGATACAACAAGAGCAAAGGAAAAGGCTACTCAGGATCCAAAGGATATGGATCAAGCAAAGGCTACAAAGGCCAAGGAAACTACAGCAAATCGAAAGGAAAAGGAAACAACAACTACACAACATGCCATCGATGTGGCAAGCCCGGCCACTGGGCACAAGACTGCAGAGTGCCGGTATGGCACATAGGAGAAGGAGAAGAACTACATCCACTAGAACCAGAACAAGCAGATCACGACAACAATGATGAACTACCTCAGGATGTGAACGACACTTGGGACTGGTACTACGAAGGAGAAGAAGGACAACATGAGGTGAACTACATGGAGGAGAACTGGAACGACTACGACTATGACAACAGCTGGGATTGGAATGACAACAGCTATGAGGACACAGCGAACTACATTGGAGGCATCAACGAGTCACACCTCACCATTGGACACATCAGACAAGCAAAATCACGACTACACAAGCACAAATCCAAATCACTACTTGGCAAGAGAACAACACACACAACATCATGGAACGACCACAGCAAGAGCTTTCAACAATTCCTACAAGAAGACACCACAAAGCTACACTTCGACATAGCAGCAGCAAGACAACAACAAAGGAACAAGAAGATTGAGGACACTATCACCCACTACATCATGTACTCCAACTTCAAGTCATACCACCACCTGTTGATCGACTCAGGAGCATCTACACATGTTTGCCCAAAGGACTACGCACCGGATCTTCCACTACGACCCTGTGGAGAATCAGTTCCACAACTCTACACGGTGACCAACAAGAAGATTCCAGTCTACGGCATCAAGTACGTTCCCTACAAGCAGGACAACTTCAGGATCATGATACCCTACTACGTTTGTGATGTGAAGTATCCAATCCTCAGCGCATCAAGACTACTTGATAGAGGATATGGACTTGACTTCACTCCACGACACTGCACCATCACACATGGACAACAACAAGCACACCTCATAAGACACTCAGGACTTTTTTACCTACGAGCAGAGAAGATCGACATCCCACAGGATTCGACATCTTCCCAATGACTACAGACAATGGAAAATCCATTGCTGTGATTCAACCTACAGAGAGAGCAGCACAACAACAAGAACAAATCGCACCACTCACACACACAGACCAAGGACTACGACAGATCCTTGGTGGAAACACTGACTACTGGAAACTTGATGGTGACTACGCCATCAGAGTACACAAACGACCACGCAAAGCACTGTTCACACCACACAACAGTGGCTGCCCAATACCAGAAGGAGAACTAGATGATTGGAGACTAACCATCATCAACAGACAAGGGCAAGAGCAAGAACAACTACAAGAGAACCCAACACAACTTTCCAAGCAAGAACTACAACGAAGACTAGAAGGTGACAACTGGACTGGAGAAACCAGATTCAGAAGAAAGATAACACCTACACGCAGAGCAACATCACAGACAACACCAACAAGGCAGAGCTCACAACCACAACCAAAGGAGACAATACACAGACCACTCACAGCACAGGAGGACAACCAGGACTACTGGGAAAGACAAGGTGAACACTGGATACGACACCACACAACGCTTAGAACAACTCTCTTCACTCCAACAGATGGACCAGGACATCCACCAATCAACACACTTGAACCTCACAGAACTACAATCACTCACAACAACTTTGGAGAAGTTTCACAACGCAAAGATGACTGGACAGTCATGGGCAACGCAGCACTACCATTTCAATGGAAAGGAAACAAGGTTCACCGTGAAGAAAGACTACGAGTACATCCAGGAGAACCACGATGCAGAACAACAACACGAGCATCATGAAGCACACAGAGCAAGAGGACTACGACAACCACAGCAGCCCACTCCACAACAAATAGCAGAACACAACCTTACACATCTACCATACAGAAACTGGTGTCCAATTTGCGTTCAAGGCAAAGGACGCCAAGACAACTACAAGAAACAACAATCACGACAACCTGTCATTCAAGTAGACTTTGCCTACATCAAGTCACAACAAGACCCAAAGACCACACCGGTACTGACAGCAGTTGATGTTACTACACAACTGTGTATGGCAGTATTGGTTCCAGACAAATCATCAATGATGGACTACATGGTCAACAACCTACAAGCATTCATCTTTGAGTGCGGAAGAACACAAGGCATACTACAAAGCGACAACGAAGACACACTCAACGCACTTCTAAAAGCTACAGCAGCAAAAGTCGGCACAATGAGTGTACGACATTCACCTTCCTACAGCAGCAACAGTCAAGGAAGCGTTGAGCGACTACACAGAACACTTCTCGGACAAATCCGCGTCGTCAAAGCTCAGGTTGAAAGCAACTACAGCATGACGATGTCCACAAAGCACTGCCTACTACCTTGGATAGTACGACATGCAGCATGGACGGTAAATCGCTACGTCATTCACTCAGACGGCTACACAAGCAAGCCAGTGCCATGGTATTTGGGTGTTTCATTTGCATTTGGGTGTTTCATTTTCTTGGTGTTTGTGGTTTCTGTTGGGCTTTGTGTGTGTTTTAGGCTCTCCTCACACATATAAATGTGTGGATTATCATATAGATACATAAATATCTTTTGCTGGGACCTCAATGAGAAGCAAAGTTTCTAGATGCTATTTGCCAGCGCTTAGGTCAAATTAGTGCTTAGTTTGGATTCAAAACACACACTAGCTGCCTCAGCTTGAAACTCAACACGTTGCAGCCACCCAAGCATTGCAGCCTGTCTGCGCAATTCCTCAAGTTTGGGGCCATACCACAAAACCAACTGAAGTCACTTGGGGACCAAAGAATTTGTTAAGTGGGGTGCGCCCTGGCTCATCTTCAACCTCTCCATCGTCGTCTTCGCCACCATCCAGCCTGGCAAGTCTGGGCACTCAGAATGCAGATTGGAATGCGAAGGGGGCTGGGTTCCACTTGCCTTGAGTTAGTCAATGTTTCTTAAGAGGAGGAGCCACATTGAGCTGTGAGCTGGACCTACCCCTGAAATCCGGAGATGCTGGTCAACTCTCCCTTTTTCATAGCGATTTGATTTTACAATGGCAAGGGGTGAACAACAGGATTTATATTGACTGGTCAGCTAGTGAGTTATAGGAGTTCCCCACGTGGCCCTTCACTGAACAATTGTCACACAAGTTCCTCAGGCCCTGTGGGCCGTGTATCATTGAAGTTCCCAAGAAGGTCCAAAGCACCTTTGCAAACGTAATCGCCTCCTAGAGCTGGGTGCGGGCATGCTGTGTCGTGTCAGAACGTTTCGCGAGAGTACAAAGGCATACAAAGGCTGCCTGAGTTGTCAAGCGACGCAACTGTCAAGCGACGACGCAACTGTCAAGCGACGCAACTGTCCTGTCAAGCGACGCAACTGTCAAGTCAAGCGACGCAACTGTCAAGTCAAGCGACGCAACTGTCAAGCGATGCAACTGTCAAGCGATGCAACTGTCAAGCGATGCAACTGTCAAGCGATGCAACTGTTTTTGGTATAAAGGTTGTTCTGTGGGTGATTGGTTGGTTGGAGCAAACATTCGTGCGTGACAGACTGATTTAGCAAGCACT